TACAGCACGGTCACATGACTTCACGTCACCACCGCTAAGCTAAAGGCGGCTAATGTTGCGCTGTAAAGGAACTACAGCATGGTCACATGACTTCACGTCACCACCGCTAAGCTAAAGGAGGCTAATGTTGGGCTATCAAGGAACTACAGCACGGTCACATGACTTCACGTCACCACCGCTAAGCTAAAGGAGGCTAATGTTGAGCTATAAAGGAACTACAGCACGGTCACATGACTTCACGTCACCACCTCTAAGCTAAAGGAGGCTAATGTTTAGCGTGATGACGTTTAGTCGTCTCATTTAGACACTTGTCAGCAACTGCCGTTTTTCGTTATTCACCAGTGGGGTATTTACTCCTGTATTTTATGTCGGAGAACAAAACGTGAACGAGTGAACCAGAAGTGGTCAAATGTTGACTCATTTCGTGGCTTTTCAATCCATTTTTCGATATTTTGAACAAGGCAAAGTTACATTCTACACCTTTTAAAGCCAGCAGGACTGAAAACAATAAACAAATGTCATCGCAAAGGTCAGCAATCGGTGAGTGCACTGCTCTCTAAATCCCAGCCCAGATGGAAGTGCTCACTGACCTTATGATGAAGTCACTGGAGTCGATGAGGTTCCCGTATCGAGACCCCTTCAGGTTCCCAGAGTTCCCCACCACAGAGCAGGTTCTGCAGCGCTCTGGCCCGGCGTCCATGTACAGAATCTCATCGGGGATGACTTGGAACAACTCGTCCACCACTTCAGTGAAGTTAGCCGGCTGCCTCTCTGACTGCAACCACTGGAGACACAGAGCTCAATCTCAATCTCAATCTTTATTTATTTATAGAGCACATTTAAAGGTCTCCTATTATGCTATTTTCAGGCATATATTATTGGTCTCAGATAAAAAACATGTCTATGATGTGTGTTGCTCAAAATACCAAACAGATCATCCATTCTAGCCTCATACCTCTTTATTTCAACCCTGTTACTAAAGTGATGATTCTGGGTATATATAGCTTTTTAAAAAAAAAGACCACAAGGTGAGTTCCTTTTTATTTCCTGCTTCTTTACACATACTCTCTCCAGTACAGGTTAGCTCTGAGAGTTAGCGATGCTTGCTAATGTAAACAAAGACGTCCAAAACACGTCATGCTTTGTTTCTGACAGCTACGTTTCTGATAGTGCCGTGGGTCCACATTTCAGATATTACATCGTATCGGCAGCAAATCTGGATCAGCTCCGTTGCTCCCCCGTTTTTAGAGATATGGGTATGGAGGAAAAGAGAGAGGGGTTTTTTTTCTGACACTTCCAGGGACACATATTTTTTGTATAAAATACATCTTAAAGTGCATTTTGCATGATAGGTCCCCTTTAAAAGCCAGTGCAAAGAGGTGAGATAGACTGAGCAGTTTGGATATGTACTGGGAGACCTCAGAGGGAGAGAGAGGGCCACTTTAAGCTGAAGTGATTGAACAAGGGCAGCGGAGTTTGAGAAACCGAGCACATTTCAAAAAATAACCTCAGGGGCGCTTAGCATGGTCTGTAGGGGCTCTTTCGGCCCTGGCCTTCTTATGGTGGCTTTGAACTCGGAGAGACAGGAAATAAAAGCAGGTGTGTGTGTGTGTGTGTGTGTGTGTGTGTGTGTGTGTGTGTGTGTGTGTGTGTATAGTGTTCTGTTGTGCTGCTGGAAACACAGTGCAGATTCACAAGGTTCTGCAATCTTTAACACAAATTGATTCATTCTCCTAATCTCACTGCAGAGGCTTTTTCACCTTGCATACTGGGGGAGCCATGAAGCACTTTCTCTTTATATTTGACAATAAAATAGGGCAATCAAATATATTTGTACTGAAATATCGTTTTTAATCATAGGACTAAACTCCCAGGTAACGCAACATATATTGGACATTCTTATCCAAGGCCTTTATACAATAGTTTGTTGATTGTGTGATTTTAAACGGCCATCAGAGAATTTTGTTGCATTTGTAAAACTATTCCAAATGCTTTAATACAATAACAAATCAGATGTTCTATTAAGTTGTCTGAATTGAGCTTGGTGAACAGGAATAACAAAGTAGTTGCTTAAAAATTGAACACATTTTCTGATTTCTGATTTCTTAAATGGCCAATTTCACAAACAATACAAAGACATTTAGGAGCAAACTATGAATAATGTTTATCCAGCTGCTGACATCATAGCGTACAGTAAACTGATTTTTAAATGCAACTTCGGAAATAGTTACGTTTTTTTTGTATCCTGATAACGTCCAACCATTACAAGTAATCCACAAAGCCTGAAGCTATGTCTACTATTATGATCCGTTGAATTTTCTGAATATTGGGATGCAGATTAGAATTGTCCAAAGGGGGGTTCGTTTAGCATGAGACACTTGAAATAACTAAAGGATAAGTTAAAAAGAAAGTAGAAAGAAAGTGAGGTCATAGAAAACTATTCCTGCTAAAAAGTAAGCGAGGATTGAGAGTCAGAGCTAAACATTTCAGATGTGTGTATCTCACACTGCACTGTCACTTTCATTCATGTACCTTTGTTATTCATGTTTCATTATCATATGTTTCTTAATGCTCTTAATGTCCGATATTTTTGTAAAGCACTTTGAATTGCCTTGTGTTGAAAGGTGCTATATAAATACACTTACCTTGCCTTGCCTTGATGCTCTCATGACATTTACCCGGTGTCCTGGTGTCTCAACAGGCCATGATCATTGCTTTTAGCTCGGACATGATTCCCCGGCTGGTCTACTACTGGTCCTTCTCTGTGTTTCCCTACGGACATCACTCCAACCACACCATGCAGGGCTACATCGAAAGCTCGCTGTCTATATTCAACATCAGCGACTTCTCTGATCGGAGCATGCCCATGAGGACACCTTACAACATCACCACCTGCAGGTACACATGTTTGTTTTAAATATTTGTATCGAAGACACATTGCACATAGACAAGACATTTTTGGACATCGATGGGAACAACAGTTACAGAATCAAAACAACCACTGATCGTCTTTGTCTTAGAGCCATACTTTTGCTTTGAAATGTTTTCCCTGTTGGTTCGTCTCTTGAAAAACACATTCATAAACAAACCAGTAAAGGTATGAACATTGGTGTGTGTGTGTGTGTGTGTGTGTGTGTGTGTGTGTGTGTGTGTGTGTGTGTGGATTGTAA